GTGCCAGCGGAATACGGCTCTCTCCTCTGTAAGGGTGTCTCCGGCTGTGCGGGGTCTTGGAGCTCTTATTTCCCCCGTTTCAGGAGCCGCGGGACTCCTTGTCCATGCAGAGAAGTTAAAACACTCGGAAAAGGGTGAGGTCTTGCGATTGTGGAGGGAAAAAAAATAGGGAGAAAGCCCAAATAGAATGCAACTCCCTTCTGTTTTCCTCTGGGGAAAGCACTGTGTGTACGCTGCCTCTGTTCATTCTGCTGGAGAAGATCCAGTGCCTGTTAGGGTTCTGCTCGTGTAAAACCCGTGTATGTGGGAACAGCCTTAATCCTGTTCCTCCTTCCATCTCGGATTCTCTTATGTGTGGAACACAGGAGATGCTCAGGCTGCACATTAAGCTCCTGCAAATGCATCATACAAGCGCCCCAGCAGATGAATGTAACATATATTTACATTTCCTTTAAATAAAACGTGTGTAAGCACACTAAACATTGCAGAACAGCTGCAGAAACCAGGGCATGGGCTGTAAAGCTCAATCCCAACAGGACTGAGCAAGGACAAACCCTTTCCCATTTTCTTTGTGACCTCAGTTTAGGGTTACATCAATGCAACTCTGCTGGCTTCAGTATCATTGTGCTCGTTCGCTCTCTGTTCTGTTCTCCAGAGAAGAGAATCAGAACCAATCCAGGAGAATTTTTCCCATAAATAAGACATATAAAGGAAGAGGGACACAGGGTTGGTTGTTTATTAACTTCTCACTTCTTTTAACACAGACAGGATATTCAACAAATTTTCAGCTTCTGCTCTGCCCAAGGGGCCCTACAGTGAAATTGCAGCCTTGTCATTATGAAATCATCATCTTTTACCATAGAGTTAATTGGAACGTGATATATTATATCCTAGCAGCCAAATTAATTCCTTGGAAAGTATGTTCAGAGTTTCCATTAGCTTAATGGAAAAGTGCACCTGTATTTCTCATTGCAGTTGAGCCAAAGTATTAATTGTATGAACAAAAAGAGAGATACCGATTTAGAAGCTGTTGATTCCTGCTTAGATTCAGGTACGTCAAAAGTTGTTCTTACAGGTTCTTCCAGTTCAAAAGCCTTCCTTGAGATTTGCAAGGTTATTTCAAAGGGTGGGTGTTCTGAGTGATCTTTTTTGTAAGGCAGAAAATTGCTTAGATACCCCCAACAGACAGGGGAAAATAGATACAGCACTACCATAGCATTAACAACATCAGGCATACCTTTGTTCACATCTTTATGGGGTGGGAGTTAACAGCAGTTCTTTTCCTGAGAGAGTTCAACTTGCAGAGGAACAAGGCATGTGATATGTAATCTTTCTTTTATAGTGCCTTTGGCTTCAAGAACCTCTGTGTATGATACACACACATCCTTTTACTCTTCTGAATGATTGCATATTGAAGGATCACGGCCTAAACACTAAGGTAAAGCGTAGGTGAGCATTTCACAGCGCAGTGAAGGCTGCTTTTAAACCCCAAAGGACCACTATCACTGGTAGGGGGACTTTCTTCAGTACCAGCAACAGACAAGAGAGGGATTACCCTAAGGGTTGTGGCTGAGCAGTTCCTAACATCTTGCAAGAGTCTGTCACATACAGACGCCGATACACGTTCACCCGCGTGCTCTTGCTGCACAGAAGCTGAGCACAGTTCGATAGCGAACACATGGAAGACAGATAACAGATGTATTCTTTCTGCCCACAGCTGCCAAAGTGCCTTGTTCTATTACAGGAGCCCCTCCTTTCTTGGTTGCATATGCTGCACCATGACTAAAAAGCCTCTTATATCTGGAAAAAAAAGGTGTGAGCTACAGTTGCTTTTACGTGAGTGATCCAGTTCAGTTCAACTACTTACACATGCCATAGGATTTGACCTGACATCCTCAGTTGTCATCTGACTGTATTTCCCCGTTAGTTGTTGACATCTTCTTTTCTTCTGTCTGTAGTGATTTCATTTAGAATGAGTTGACTTTTGAAAGCCTCAGTAGCCAAGTGGCTGGTTTGAAAGCACACAGGAGTGCCTGGGACTGCCTACTCTGGCAATACTGTCCAAAGGCACTTAAAAATCCAGCCACTGGTTTCTGCTACATTTAAAAGTTTGAAGCCAAATTCTCCCCTTTGTTTATTAACCATTTAACCCATATGAACCATAGGAGGGTCCTCATAGAAATGAAGAAATTCTCCCTAACATGACAAAACAACGATGATGGTTTTTGTCAAGAGGAATTGTGACATGAACACTGCGTGCGGGTAAGTTCTGACTCACGTGGCACTGCAGTGACTTGCGTGAAGACTTTACCTTATTCTAAAACCATCTTTTGTGCTTACTATTAGTAAGCCCTGATACTACCCCCCCGTCCTTCCCTCGATGTTATGTTACAGTTCAGAAAGGTGCCACGTGGATAATGTCTGTGGCTGAACGGTGGTAACCATGCCCAGGTCCCCTTTGGGCAGCTGCAGTGAAGTCAGCTCAAGCAACTTGTCTCCAGCTCACCTGGGCATCATCCCTAAAGCCATGGGCTCGCTGACTCTGGAATTTATGGAATCAGCCTCTTCAGTGAGGTTTGCATGGGGGGGTTCCTGTGGCTCCCATCTAATACCAGCTCTGGTTATTTTTCTTGTATCAACACCACAGGAGGAATTGAATCTGCCAAACAGAAATCATTGTATTGTTTTGACTTCTCATGGTGACCACGCTCTCAAAGGGTGAACATGGCTATTTCTTACCCTTTGGAGTAACACCCTGCGCAGGGCAACAGAGAACCCTATGAGTAAGCCTTTTTAAGGAGAGAGGGATGGGGAATCCAACCTCTGAATTTAAGAGGTCTTACAGACAATGGCAGTGTAATTCCTTGGTTTGCAGGTCCATTCCCCAGGTCCATTCTTGGGATGAGTTATTCAATTTCTTGTGGTTTCAGATTCTTGCTCTCTTCCCTGCCTTGGCATGTCTCACTTAGAGCTAAAGATTTGCATCAGATTTGCACAGTTTAGGAGCAGACAGCAGGGATGCCTGTCTCCCCTTCTGTTGCTTCTGGCAATTTCAAGTCATCTTTGCTCTCCTCTGAACAGTGCCAGGAGATGCACACTGCAGGTCTCTGTCCATACACCAATTTAGGATCATAATCGTTTGGGAAGAGTTTCTCAAGCCAGTAACATAAAGTCATTTGAAGCTGCTTTACTGCCAGCACAGTTCTATCTACCTGCCTTTAAACTATTTTTCTAACGCTAAATACATGTAGCTCGTTAGCACAGGGGAAAGACTGGTTCCTCTTTGCATAGAATCACAGACTGGTTTGGGCTGGAAAGGACCTTAAGATCATCCAGTTCCAACCCCCTGCCACGGGCAGGGACACCTTCCCCTAGAGCAGGTTGCTCCAAGCGCCTGTGTCCAACCTGCCCTTGAACACTGCCAGGGATGGGGCAGCCACAGCTTCTCTGGGCACCCTGTGCCAGCGCCTCAGCACCCTCCCAGGGAAGAGCTTCTGCCTTAGATCCAACCTGAACTTCCCCTGGTTCAGTTTGAACCCATCACCCCTTGTCCTGTCGCTCCAGTCCCTGATGAAGAGTCCCTCTGCAGCATCCTTGTAGCCCCCTTCAGACACTGGAAGCTGCTCTGAGGTCTCCGCACAGCTTCTCTTCTCCAGGCTTTCCACTTACTAATCATGCTTAATTATATATTGAGAGAATCAGTCGGTTATCAAGCCTATATGATTGCTGTGTTCTTAAGCAAAAGCCAATCAATGCAGTAACTTCTCCATACAGCATCCCTCACCTGGTGCTGGTGGCTTGGTGGTTTTTTCCATCCCTGCAAAACATCAGCTTAAAAAGTTGCATTTGAATGTTAAGACACACAAAAATCAGCATTCCTTTACGGTGTTTCAGAACACCTGAATGCTCACGTCCAACGTTGTTCAAAGAACCCAAAATAACTTCTTTCCTGGGTAACGCCTAACCTGAACACCACAGTTCTGCTAGGTTAAGACAGGAGGGTGAAGGTAAAGGAGGGAACTACAGACTTAGGTTAAAACCAGATGTGGATTCTTCTAATGAATTTATGAGCTTTCTGAAAACCAGAGGTAACATGAAGAACGGAAGCATACCAATGCCTGGCCACAGGAGAACCTTAACAAACCCACTAGTGCCGGGTGCCACTCGTGTTCAGAGTGCATGGAAAAGACCCTGAGGATCCGAGGCATCCTATGAGAGCTGTGAAAGGCATTTGCCCCTTTCCTGGGGAGTGCTGGGTTGTTACAGCCTCCCAAAGAAGGCACCGGAGTTTAAGGCATCAAGACCTGTTACTGCTACCAAAGCAGGGAGAGAATGGAAAAAAGGCAGTGAGGTTTTTCCCGCAGGGAAACTGGCTGCGCTGTGGCCTTCCTGTGCTGTTCATAGTGAGTCAGAAACCCTGCTCATTTCCAAAGGATTAAAAACATCCCTCAAACATTTGCTGGAATGACCAGTTCTCTTCCTGAGCAGGAATTTGACCATTCTGGCGACTGCTTGGATGATTTTCAGCTTTAATGTACTTGACATAGAAATAGGCTTTAGCAACAATTTAACAAATCAGTGCCGACAGACTTTAATCTTTAATCCTGTCATATACTGTCTTTAATCATATCATCTGTTTTCCTCATGTGTCCCGTTGATGTGTATGTTTTATTTACAAGCTTTATACATAATAGTGCCTCTAAGAAATATTTTGACTAGGTTTCAACCACCTCAGAAGGGAATATTGAACATATTCAAATTGGCACACTGGGGCAAAGAATAATGCTAAAAGGAAATGTTCTAACACATTCACAGTATGAGTTATTTTTTTTAAGTAATAAATATTTGCTGAATATTTTGATAATGTTTTCAGAAAAATCATCTTTTCTGAAGTGGTTTAACTCATTGTACATCAGCCACCAGCTTATTCTGAAAGGAAGTTATCAGATGGCACAGCAAATGGAACAGTGATGGGATTGCAGTAGAAGCGAGGCTTGCAAAGGCCTCGTTTGCTGTGTATGGACAAAGAACTCATTAGAACAATCTTGAAAGTACCAAGAGGCTTAAAACTGTAGGAGAAAAACCCTCTTTCATGCGCTTAGGTCTGGGGCAATGAACAGCAAGTTTGAGCAGAAATAACCTGTAACTGAATTAAAATGAGGATTTAGGATTTTCTCTGACTATTTATAAACTTCGTGAGGAATCTTCAAGGAAGCACTTCCTGAGGTTATTTTTCATTTCCCCTCTCCTTTTGAATAGCAGCTATTTTAAAACTGAACTGATGGGGGGGCTGGACACACCAACCAAAACCCATGCTGGACATTTATAAAATAGGTACTACATTTTACCATATAAAGCTCGTGATTTAATTGCACAGCTATAGATTGTAATACAGCATGATTCCAGGAACAGGCAATAAAAGGCAGTTTGTCCTGTGAATATGCAGCAAATACTTTAAGAATTGTTTACAGAAGATGCAGTAACTTTAGCCTTCTGAGTTCATGCAGTTTATTTGGCTTTAACTTCGCACTCAGTTAAGCTCTCTTGAGGACTGTTAGATTTGCTTTCCTCGTTGGATGTTATTTATCCATTGAAAAGGTTAGCTATAAAGATAAGTCACCACAAGGAGAGGAGAGGGAGGCATGAGCTGAAAGTGAGAATGTGGCTTGTAGCCCTCAAGATTTCCCAACAGGGCAGAGGTTTCTAGTTCTCACCAAAGCACTTACTTTGACGTGATTTACCAGGATGGCTGAAATCCATCTACACTGGCAAAAAGGAGTGACAAATAGAGGGAAAATGGAAAAGATGTTCCACTGGTGGCTAAGAAGTAAAGAGAGGAAAGAAGAGAATTAAGGGACACCCTGCTGCTATCTTCTCCCTAGCCAGGATGCGTACAAGTGCTGAGAAGGCAGGATAAATGTGAAATGGAAAACTGGAAGTGCAATATGTAACAGAGTGGCAGTAATGCATCTCCTACTGTCTTTATCTTGCTTTGTCATTTCTGCATCAGTGATGTTCCTTAGCTCTCTTCCAATCCGTTCTACAAGAAAAGGCTTCTTCAGTCCTTCCTTCTGAAGTATAACTGATTCATAGTATTTCTTGTGCTAGGAAGTGCCAGAGAATGATCACATTTTCACTTGCACAACTATCTCCCACTTAATAGCGGGCCCCTGAATCAATGTTGATTCATAAAGAAGACGAGACTTCTACCTCTTTCCGTGGCTTACCTTTCTCACCAACAGTTTGAGTGAAGCAAACTGTTGACTTCTCATCTCAACAGGTCTGAAACCAACCTGATACGAAACTGGGGAGCTGAAAATCCTACATACAATCACAGCTTTATTTGCTAGTGCAATGGTCAGGGCCTATCTTCCCTAAAGCTTGACTCAGAGATAACCTGTCACATTTGTGCCAAAATGAAGGAATCATGTTTCCAAGGTGATGAAGGCATCAGGAGGCAATACCAAGTGAAAAAAGCTTTAAATAATTACAGATTGCTTTTTCATGTAAATGCTCCATGTCACAAGATACAGGCAGCACTGTTGAGAAATCTCTTAACGTGTAATGAAATAGTTTGGTGGAATTGTTGAATGTTTCTGACTGCAATATTCCATCCAGATCCACTTTTAATCATTACATGAGATCTCAACTTGCCAACGTATAAGTACATTAAGACTTTATAAGTGTGTCCATTACCATGATCTTGCTGTTTGGCTGCTTTTACTAAGGAAAGTCTTAGGGAAATCCTCATCGTGTGCAACAAGGATTTAAGAGAACCTACCCCGGGATCTTTCATCCAAAAGGAACGATAATCCACATTCATACAGTAACTCCTGTATATTCTGTACATGACTCTTGTTTAGAAGACATTCCAATCCGAGCATTTTTTACAGTAAATGAAATGTGCATCTGAGGTAGTACTCACTCACCTTCATTACTAAGAGAAACAGGATTAGTTTCAAAAGCTTAATCTTTAAGAGAACACAACATTCTTCAGACCAAGCTATTCTGGAAACTCACAGGTCTTTCCATCAAAAGGTGCTAAGGGGAACAAGTGTTTTATAAGCCCTTTATGAAGAAAGGCCACTTGCTCCAGAACTTTCATTGTTATTCATGAAATGAGAAAAACAAGGTCTGGTTTTAGAGAATAATTATTTTGTTAAGTAATTAATTGATGCTCATTTAAATCTGCTGTGGCTGGAATGACAGTGTCCCTTAGGACTTCACATCAACTGACCATTACTGTTTGTTTCCTCCATTTTTTAGCATAAAACTCAACAAATAAACAGATATTAATAATAAATAAATCTTCAGTGTATGAGGCTTTGATGCAAGTTGGTTTATAGAGTCTATCAGCATAATTACAGCAGTTACAGAAGATTGTTTTTCTAGCAGGCCACTGTATTAATAATAATAGATTTCAGACCTGGTTAAAAAATGATGCAGATGTGCTGGGGAAGCAAGCTTTTAGGTATGAAATGACAGTTGGATTGTTACTTGCAAATCATTAAGTTGCTCCAGGTATTACCTTGGTAGGATGTCTGCAGTAGCAAAAGAAGCTGTGATTGTATGCTGCATTTTCAACTCACCACTTTCATATCAGGTTGGTTTCAGACCTGTTGGGATGAGAAGTCAACGGTGACTGGCTTCTGCTTTGCTCAAATTGTTGGTGAAAAAAGATAAGCAAAGGAAAGAGCCACTTCCATTCCCTCCTGTATTAAAGAAGTGTGCTCAGTCTGAATTTTTAAGACAAGGTTCTTTTCAGATGGGAGATTTGAGACTACAGCCCCAATGGTTATAAAATAACCTCAGAGGAACATTGTCTTCTGTTCCTACCTTCCACTGCTTCCAAGTTGAGATATTCTCAAGCATCATTCACTGCACTGGAGCTTGAAAATATTTAAGAACATACTGAAATCACCTTTCAGCATTTCTTTCCTTCAGGCCATTATTTGTATTTGGCAAGAAGATGATCTTGCTTTGGTTACTTTGACCTTTTTGCTGCAACATAGTTTATGTGGAGTTAAAACAAATTCAGTAATGCAGAGCATAGAGATAAATGGGAGGACACGAGCTTACTGCTTTGTGAACCTAATGATAAAAAATAAAATACCATATGTATTTAGTGGTAATACCTATAAAGTTCTGAATACAGTTCTAGGTAAGCCTGTGTTTGGGATGCAGATCAAACAGACTGGTTTAGGTTGGTTCCTGAAGAACCATTCGCATGAATTAGCCAATGCAAAAGCTGGTTTCTGCCTACTCGATCTTCATTTCCATTTTAGTTTAGCAGTCGGGTTCTATACATCGCTGTTCATAACCAGCCACTTCACTGAGCCACAGACCTTGGCATTCTAAAGTGAGTCAGGCCTCACAGATTTAAAACAAAGAAGGAACAAAATCCTCCAAGCCCCATTTCCTGTAGGCTGCCAGTTTTTGTAGGCATATTTGCCCAGGATTAGGACCAGTAGGAATTTATGATACAAAGAAAACTATCAGTAAGTTCTCAGCAATGATCAGTTTAAACTCCTCACTAGACCCTCAGGTTAATTGCTGAGACCTGGTGCACCATGTGTGGGATGAGAGTAGCGTGGCTTTCTGTTCGTTGTTTGTGAAGGTCTCGGTGTCGATTTGGTGATGTCTGTGCCCAAACCAAACAGCCACGACCGCTCCTGCACAGAACATAAATACTGCACTTTGTTTCTTTTGACAGGATAATCGAAGCCATCTGCATAGGCTGGTTCACTGCAGAATGCATCGTGAGGTTCATCGTCTCAAAAAACAAGTGTGAGTTTGTCAGAAGACCTCTCAACATCATCGATTTACTGGCGATTACTCCTTACTACATCTCTGTCCTAATGACAGTTTTCACAGGGGAAAACTCGCAGCTCCAGAGGGCTGGAGTCACCTTGAGGGTCTTAAGAATGATGAGGATTTTTTGGGTGATTAAACTGGCTCGTCATTTCATTGGCCTTCAAACGCTTGGTCTGACTCTGAAGCGTTGTTACAGAGAGATGGTGATGCTCCTTGTCTTTATCTGTGTTGCTATGGCAATTTTCAGTGCACTCTCCCAGCTTCTTGAAAATGGGCTGGACTTGGGAACAAAGAATAAGGATTATGCCAGTATTCCTTCTGCTTGTTGGTGGGTGATCATCTCGATGACCACGGTGGGTTATGGTGACATGTGTCCCATCACTGTCCCAGGAAGGATTCTTGGAGGAATTTGTGTGGTCAGTGGCATTGTGTTATTAGCCTTGCCGATCACTTTCATTTATCACAGCTTCGTGCAGTGTTACCATGAGCTCAAGTTCCGATCTGCTAGGTACAGTAGAAGTCTCTCTGCTGAATTCTTAAACTGACCAAACTCGCATTCTGTTGTAGTTACTTGCTAAGCTTTGTCTTAGAGGAGAATGATGGAAAGTCCCTTCGCGTGTCCTCCTTGACTGGATGGTCCTATGGAACAACATTCTCGCCAGCCCGGAGGAAACCCGTCACCATTCAGACAGGAAGGATGGCCATCTGCCTTGGGCATCTCGCAGGGAGAGGGGGAGTGATGCTTCAAATTCGAGAGAACAAAATTAACACAAGAGGATTCAGAAGTCCTCAACCAGACCAGCTCGGTCTTCAGTTTGCCTTTCCACGTAAAAGCAGAACAAAAAGTGGGCTTAACGCTAAGCTCTGTCATTCCCATAATTACATCCATTCTAAGCAACGTGTAGCAGAAGTGTTTCAAAGGTTTCAATACCTAAATGGTCTGTAGAGGCATGGATAACTTCTTGCCTGAAGTATCTCCACTTTTAACTCAGATAACCAAACTAGATACTGAAGGAGAATCAGTGCTACTTTTGAACTTCATCTCAGAGTAGAGCTGGTTCTGTAACTCAGGAAAGATGAATAATACATGACTGTAGGGCAGAGAATCTTCAGGCCTGATTCTGATCTTTGAGGAAGCACACAAGTGTTTTGTAAAACCAGTGAAGTCAGTGGCATTTGCCTGAATTTGAGAATTCAAAGTGCAAGAAGTGCACCTCTGAATGTTGTAGCAAGGACTTCCTCAGAATCACAGAATGGTTTGGGTTGGAAGTGACCTTAAAGATCATCTAGTTCCAACCCCACTGGACCAGGTTGCTCAATTAGCCACAGTTAATTACTTCTCTGGAACCAAATCATTAGTGGAAGCAAGTGGTGTACTTTACAAAGATCAGCATAAAAAATCAGGCATTGATAAATGCATTTTCTGGTAGCTTAGTGGGGGAGCTATCCATATCTTATGTACATTCAGTACAGCTCCATCCATCTGAAGTCACATAATCACAAACATAGATTGCCCCCATTTGATTAAACATATATATCATAGTGAAGGTTCTCTAAGACCAATTGGAAGATTCCATTACTTGCAACAACAGTCTGCAGAAAGCACTGGTAAACAAGAGTAGCTGCTTCCGTTCAGATGAGGCTTTTCATCATCTTTAAATTCTGCAATCCTCACTGAAGGATACACTTTAATGGTACTTTAAAAATAACTGTAAAAAGCCCAGAGCATACCAAAGAAAGTAAAATATAGAAGTGTGAGTTGCACTTGGCAAAATGGTATATTCTCTAATGTAACTAGAAAATGAATCAAATTATGTTCTGAAATACTGTTCACTACATTTCTTGTGTAGTACTGACTTAATAGCATCGGTCAGTACAATTCTGAAAGGCTGCTACATACAAATGTGCAGGTAGATACTGTTTTAGTATTGACATTAAGTATTGACATTTAGTATTGACATTAAGGTACACCTTTACACATTTGGGTACCAATAAACATCAAAAGGGAGCTTTCATATTGACATAGAAGTTGAATTTGGTGTGCTTGCCTGAAAATACTGCATTTACTATTACTGTGCCGTAGAAGCATCTTTTATATACTTATTTGTCAAAAGCTTTAGAAGCAAAATGAGTACCACCTAGAAAACACATCTCTGGAATTGCTCATTCAGAGAAAAGTACCACATTGGTCAATAGCCAGTACACTGGAGGCTCTACCTTGAGACCTGAAAAATCCATTCTCATTTTAGGTGGGCTTAGTCTTAAGTAGTCTTAAAGAATGACATTGCCATCACAATTTGTTTGAAGACCTGAAAAGAATTTTGGTAGCCTTTTTACAGACAAGCTTGACTTTTCCTTCAGTAGCATTTCAAGACTATATTATTAAGTACTGTTACAGCCATCCCTGGGTTTCTTGTCACGTTCTGGTGTTCAGGTTAGCTCTGTAGTTCTGTCTTTGTATTTATGCCTTTTGTATCAGAATCATGTCATTCAGAAACCAGCTCCAGCATTCCACAAGAGAGGTGAATATGAGATCAGCAAAAATGTCTGTCTTAGGTGAGATTCACAGCTGATGTGAGTTAGGCAAGGTGTGACTTCAGAGACACTGAGATGTTTTACACCAATGGAGATGCTGGCTCTGTATTCCTGCATGTGTACTTATATATATCCTGCATATATTATATATTATAGTCAGTGGAAATGCTGGGGGTTTTTTTATTCCTTACAAAAAATGTCCTCCTTGACAAAATTGAGATTTCTGTCTTTAATCTGAGCACAGCTGGTGAAGAAAATGACATTTTCATCTTCTAATGAAAAGTTTGACAGTATCAAAACCATTTTCAAGGAGAAAAGTGCTGGGTTTTTTTTTGTTTCTGCTCCAATTTCTTTCTTTCCATTAAAAAAACAACCACATAAGAACTCAGCCCTACAGATTTTCATCTGTGGTTTGTAATGCTTGGGAAAAATACTGGGTTTCATAAAAACTTACTTTGTCTTTTGTCCATATATTGTATTTAACCAAACCAGTACTCTGAGATACAACCCTCCTCCCACAGAACACCCAAACCATCGTCACGATGACAATAGTTTGAAATCCATACAGAATGTGAATATAAAGTATGTTGCAGTCTTGATTTCAAGACAAAATAAAATGCATTTCAGCACTGCCTATAAATCTAATCTTTTGATGCCTGTACAAAGGAAAAAATAGAAATTACTGCACATAGTAACTTGCGAATACCAAGTTGCACCATGAATCATTTTGTATAAGCAATTAAGGACAGGATGTTTTCAAAGATCCAGGCTATATGTGGGATACAAACAAAATGTCTGATCCTTTATGAAGTGTTTTCCAGCTAAAGAATCCTTTCCCAGGGTAAAAAGATTATCTAATGAAAATAATTGCGCAAAGGAAGTCTGTGCACATTAAGTCTTACTGCTATAACTGCTTATGTTCACTTTTTATATGGCAAAATGTGAACGGAGTGACCCAATGTATTTTTTATGTTGAGTTAAGATATTTTGCTCTCTACAAGCCCATCAAGAAGAGGTATTGGGGTGGGGGGTTTCTTTTTTCATTTTTTATTGTTGTATGGTTCTCAGTGTGTAGACTTTAGTTTCCTTACAAACCAAGTTGGAGTAACGTGATCTCAATGGTAGCCTTAAACCAGGATTTCATGGGGCAAATGAGGTTCCTGACTTCTAGTAATATATATCATCTTATTTCCAATGGACCAGTGGTTTTTTTAGTGAAACTAAGGAAAAATGAATGATGTGTAGTCAAAACTAAGCGTGCTTTTAAGCAGATGAAACTGTTCTACTAGAACTCGAGCCCATGTTTCACGCAGACATGGGTTGTACCACTCAATTTCAAAATACAGCATTTCAAAGCCACCCAAAGACAAACTAACTGGCTCATTCATAATGATTGCCAGTTTGTAACACTATACAATAAAATACTTCACGGGCAGAACCTCTTTCAATATCTGAAACATTCGGAGTTGGACCAAAATAGATGAAATACAAATAGGATAAAACTGGGGATACATGAAGACAGCTTCTGTTATCCAGCCTTTCTGTTCATCTAAAACTAAAACCAATGCCAATAGGTTTTGAACTGCCATTGTATATGTTTCAGTGACCACAAAGGTTAATCATACGTTATATACTAGGTTCAATCCTTAGGACTGACCTGTTGGGAACTATATATTTGGCTGCAATCCCTCAAGGTGCTGTTTGCCATTTAAAAGCATTTGATCACTAATGAAATCACTGGAATGGAAAAGCTGTCTGGGTGCATTTTCCTTCTACAGTGCTGCATGAAGCAGCATCCCACAAATCACAAAGAATGGAAGAATATAATTTCTCCTGATGTAGGACTTGGAAACAATATTGGCTTGATGAATACTCATCAAAACAAAAGAAAGATCAATTTGACTGATTTCAAACAGTTCTATCAGCATGGGGATGAGATGTGATATTTATTCTTACTGTACAATGGCCTACCCTGTTGTATATAGCAGCAAGCTTGATGAAGATAAAAACCCTGTTAATGTAAGATTCATATATTGCTACCCATGTTTTTAAAGGAAAAGGGGCTGGTTTTTCATATCCTCTACGCAATTTGTCCCCATAACGGAATCGGTCTTTAGCTTTCGTAGCATTCAACCCTCATGTTTTCAAAATAACCCTGAAGTCCTTATGGGTCCAAAGCACTTTTCTCTTCCCCTCCGGGTAACAACTACAAAAATCTTGCCAGCTCTGAACGTCTGCCAGAAGCGGTCATATGCACAGACCAGGCAGCTAAATTCAGCAGCCAAACCAGGCAGTTTCCTGGGAACCTGCACAACGAACACGGTCTGCTGTGATCTGAATTTTCTCCCACCTAAGAGCTTCAGGGTAAAACTCCTGATTAAAGTTTGATCATTTGAAGCACCTTGAACATTTTAGAATTAGCCTTTCAAATGAGCTTCTAAGGAAGGAGATGTTTGCTGGAGAATGAAAGAAGCCATGCATAGCAAACAGGATTATATCACCTTCTACCAAAAAAAGTCATCCTGATTCTAGAAAAAAAAAAGGAAATGGACTCTCATTTTGTTGTATTTTTGTAAAAGCAAATGTAGGTCAGGATATGTGATGCTAGTTAAACTTGCTACGTAAAACAGATCCCCATTTAAAATAAGTAGGCTTAGTGAGAAAGGTCTTCCAGCTTTGCTAAGGTCCAACACTTTACACTAGCTGAAGAGCTGCCCCAGCCCATATGGAAGAAACAACAAAATGATGGTGTATAGTCAAAACTGGTTATGATGTATGGCCTATGAAATGCAACACAACGTAGGGGGTATGTATCTTCTGCAAATGACAAGAGAGGTTAAGCACCAAGGCTCACAGTGAGCAACCAAGACTGACAATGTGCTTGACGAGGAATTGCCAGAGCCACAGAAGAATTTAAATCTTTGGTCAAATTAACAAAATCTGAATGTTTGCAACTCCTTTATTCTTTACAAATGCAAAGGTTTATAATTTTATAGAACATTGATTTTAT